AATCTCTGCTAAATTAGGCATTGAGACCAGCTGTCCCAGAAGATTTCAGTTTTACCAAATGAATATAGAAGAATGAAAACATCTTATAAATGAAAAATCCCAAATTTTATTATTCCTGTTTACTTGAGGAAGGTGGGAGGAGAGTGGTATCATAATTGTTACATTGCTCATGAGTCAACTTCTTGGGGTAAAACCACATTTGCCTCCTAAAAGTGTTGAATCAGCATGCCATTTTTATTATGTTTAGAAAGTCTAGGAATATAGAGATCACAAGTTATTTGCAGATTTGGAAGAATTCACTGATGGAACAGTATGGTCCTGGTGCCATTTGCAGAAAAGCTTGTTAATGACTTATTTGATTTCTCCTTCTTAGACTGGTCTATTGAAGTTAGGTTTCTTATTTTCTAAGTTCAAGTTTTTGGTTTTTTTTTGTAGATAATTTTACTTTACTTTTACTTTATGTTCCCATTTGAACAAAGTTGTATATACATATCTCTGACTTTCCATTTTATCAAGGATCCATTGATGTGGACCATCAATTGCAAGCTCTCTCCCCCAAACCAATCACAACTCCTTAAATAACTTACAATTTTAGAGTGTTTCCTGTGGCACAGAAAGGCTAAATGATTTGCCCATGGTCATGAAGCTAATAAGCATCGGAGGTGGGATTTGAACCCAGATCTTTCTATCTTCAAGTACAATAGTTTATTGATTATGCCACTCTGCTACTCAGATTGCTGATAGTTTTCTTTAGCAATAATTGTCACCATTTATTAAATTTCCCAATTGCTTAGCAGTATTATGGACATTCTTGGCAGCACAGGTTGGGAAGGACAGCTGGTGAGGCAACTAGGGAAGAGCAGGGCAACTAGAATGGTGAATGACCTGATTTCAGTTCAGGGGGGACATGAAAACTGATTTCAAGTACAGATTGGTCTATCATATGAGAGATTAGATTTGTTCTCTTGGGCCCTAGGGGGCATATGGAGGAGCAACGAATGGATGAAAATTACAAAGAGGCAAATTTAGGCTTTAGGTAAGAAAAAACTCTCTTATATTAATAGGAGCCCCAGCCATGATGTTCTGGTCTTCCCTACCTCCCCAACAATTGCCTTGCCCTCCATCACTGTAGTCTTCATTTTTTCAGATCCTCTTCATGTGTTGTTTTCCTCTTTTGGAATGTAAGCACTTTGAGGGTAGGGACTGTTTTGTTTTCTTGTTTTGGTATCTTCAGCCACTTAGCACAATGCTTGGTGCAGAGTATAAGTACTTAATAAAGGTGCTATCTATCCACAGATCCTTGGTGCTATCTATCCATAGATCCTTATCTATCTATCTATCTATCTATCTATCTATCTATCTATCTATCTTTAAAGCTGGATGACCATTTGTCAAGTATGTTGTAGAGGAAATTCTATTTGAGATATGGATTGGACTAGTTGGCCATTGAAGTCCCTTCCAACTCTGAAATTGTCCTTTTTCTGGCCACTGCAAATGCTTGAGTAGAGTTATATTGCATTTTTACAGCCATTAGCATAACATAGAGATGATCTTGCAAAAAAAAAAAAAAAAAGGAGGGGAGATGAGGCCTTACCTCTTTACTGTAAAAGATTTTATCAGCCAGAGGGGAAGGGGAGCTATGTGCATATATTAAGGGTGAGAGGATGCTGTGGCACAGTATAGCGATATCATTCTTACTGAACTCTTTAGTATTTTTATTTACTTTTGTGTTTCTATAGCTCATGTAACCATAACTGCAATGATTTCCAGAGTTCCATGATAGATAACCAGGTGGTACAGTAGATAGAGTGCTGGTCCAGGGTAGCCCTGAGTTTAAATCCTGCTTTAGACACTTATTGGCTGTGTGACCTTGGGCAAATCTTAAAATTCTTATGGTATAGGGCAGCTAGGTGGTGCAGTGGATAGAGCACTGGCCCTGAAGTCAGGAGGACCTGAGTTCAAATCTGGCCTCAGACCAAACACTTGATACTTACTAGCTGTGTGACCCTCGGTAAGTCAATTAACCCCAATTGCCAACAAAAAAACTCTTATGGTATCCGTTTACTCATCCATAAAGGTTTTGAACTTGATGGTCTGTAAGGTTACTTCCAGCTCTAAATTTATTGCTTTATAATCCTAATAAAGCCCAGTCACCCTGATGATTGAATAGTGCCTGGCACATAGCAGGTGCATAATAAATGCTTGTTAACTTGATTTGTCCTCTGGCCTTCCATCAAAATCTTCCTAGAGTGACTTATTATGATATGAAAGTATCCCTTGCTTCCCAAAGGCAATTCTAGCCAAGTACAGTTTATGACTGGTCTCTTCCATCCGGGAAAGCTTTAAATACGGACCCAATGACATCTGTTGCCTGAGGACCAGCTTAGCTAAGTTTAGAGAGGGTGATCTAGAGAGCATGAACAGAAACTGGGACCTGGAATCCAGATATAGAATCCAAATCAAAGAAATCAAAGGGTTGAGTCAATGTCAAACTAAGAAGATAGAGGGAAAGAATAGGAACCAGATATAAGAAACAATACAGAGAGGAGCCACGGCTCAGGCTCTCAGAATACTTATGCCTGGCTTGGCACTTGAGGCAGCTAGATGGTATAGTGAATACAGCACTAGGCCTGGCGTCAATAAGACCTGAATTCAAATCCCACCTGAGACACTTACTAGTTATGTGACCATAGGCAAGTCACTTAACCTAGGTCTGTCCCAGTTTCCTCAAGTATAAAATGAGGATAATAATAGCACTTACCTCCCAGGGTTATTAGGAAAATTAAATGAGATATTTATGAAGTGCTTAACAAAGTAGGCACTTCATAATTACTTGTTTTCTTCCTTTCATTTAATCATCTGTGAATAATTCCCATGCACAATTGCCATTCCTAGTTGTTGATCCTCTATACCTGTATCAGTGGGGTGGGGTGAGCAGCGTGTATTATATTGACCAGAGAGCTCTGTGTCTTGTGTGTTATGGACATCATTAGTATTAGAGGCACCATTGGAGCACCCCATCTTGACCTCAAGAGACAAGGTGGCTCTGAAACATGTTATCCAACCAATCCTTCATATTACAAAGTGGAGACAGGTGGCACAGTTCTTTTTTTTTTTTTAAGTGAGGCGATCGGGGTTAAGTGATTTGCCCAAGGTCACACAGCTAGTACACGTCAAGTGTTTGTTCTGAGGCTGGATTTGAACTCAGGTCCTCCAGATTTCAGGACCAGTGCTCTATCCACTGCGCCACCTAGCTGCCCCGCACAGTTCTTCAATATTAGTAGCTATTTACGAAATCTGAATCTCCAAATGACTTATGAGAGGTTTACTTTTAATGATCTCATGAGGTCATTAAATGTTTTAGGGGCTGTGAAGAACGTGATCATGGCATGTGTTTGGTTGCTTATTACCTCTAGGATAAAACAAACACTTCACTCTTTGGCATTTACACCCCTGGTCCTGGCCCAATTTTCCAGGCTATTTTGCTTTGCTCTCCTTTATGTCCTCTAAACTGGCCATCTTGCTATTAATCATAGCATACACACTTGTTATTTTCTATCTCTGCACCTTTTGTAGTCTGTTCCCTATGCCTGGAGTGCCTTCCTTCCTCACTTCTATCTCTTAGAATTCCTAACTTCCTTCAGAGTTCAGCTTAAGTGGTACCTCCTAGATGCATCTTTTCTGATATCCTCCATCTATATCTCCAACCCCAATCCACACTATCTTGTCTATGTTTTATATAGGCTTTGGCTTCACTTTTTTCATTCATAAAATGATAGGGTTGGACGAGATGATTGCCAGCATCACTTTGAACTCTAACATTCTGAGATTTTATTTGATTTGTGTCTTGGGCAATTGGCCAAGTGATGCTACTGAGGAGTTTGATTATAATGCAATAATAAGGTTTTTGTAAAAATAACAGTGCTCTAGGTAACACTTCAAATGGTATGCTTGTATCATCATTGATACAGTGCCCTCTACAAACACCACAATTTCCTTTGTAAGATGGTGTCACTTATTAAAAATTGACATTATTCCCTACATTTGGGTACAAACTAAATATTTATGGATTGACATATCTGTAATAGATGGATTTCCAGAGCAGTTAGATTCTGTTCTAGAGTCAAATGTAAAATTAAAACAGTGGGATAAAAATCAGGCATTAAGTGCCTAAGATTTGGGCCACCTGGTAGCCTTAAAGCATCTCCATCTGTGTAGTACTTTACCTTTAATAAAACAACCAGCTACTTCAGGTTGTGGACTCTAGAAAGCGAGGGATAATGCTTGCTTTTCGCTGTATCCTATTTATGCTATGTGCTGTGCACAAAGCATACAGGGACACTTTATAAATAGGATTCAGAAAACAGGAAGATGAGGATGAAATGCTAAGCAGGCTTCTGCAGTGTTAATGATGTCTCATTATTACTCTGTGAATAAAGTTAGGGGATACAGTGCTTCCCCGGGCCAGATTTCTAGCTCACCCTTGGGCCTAATTATTTGCAAACTGGATTGCCTGGAGGCTCCTTCTTCTTCCTTGCTTTCTACTGTTTTCAAGCCCTGGCCCCAGTGAAGGCTTCTCTCCTTTGCCTCTGATGTTTAATTTCTCTAACTTGTACTGGAATCCAAAATGCTCTATTTATTTAGCCTACCTTAATACACAGCAATAACCTGTGGTGATGACTAGGTCAGTTCCTAATGGCAGAATAATAAATGCCCAAATTGGTTCCAGGGCAAAAAATGTTTTTTTTTAATGGCATCTCAAACTACAGTTTCATCTTTTAAAATGCCACTCTTTGAAGGTAACCATTTTTCCTAATAACCCTGAGAAATCTCCCTTCCAATCTCTAGGCGAATGCAAAGTTAATCAGGGAGACAAAGGAACTCAGCTGTCTGGAGGCCCTCCTTAGGCATCACACATGTTTTTGTAGGTTCTATGCTGCATTGGTTGCTTGTAGGGGACTAGGAGGTCCAGAAAACCTGATGAGAAGAATGGCACCAACCTTGCTGTCGTGATGGAGCTGCACCCATCCTCCGTAGCCATATCTCTGTGGAGGGTAGAAAAGCACAATTAAATTCTCAAAGAGTAGAAATGGAAACAAAGCTATAGTTCATAGAAACATTCAATTCAGGGAACATGGTACTTAAATTCCTGAAAACAAATCACAGTGAATATGACATGAACTAAACACTCAAATAGAAATTAACTAAAATACACAAATAGATCTGATCTCATCAATCCAGAAGTTCCTTCCAACACAATTAATCCACACCTGTCCATCCTGTGCACTCTAGTCTTCATCCTCCTATAAGATTGACATAGAAGTCCTCACAATGTGCTTTCTTCTTCTCTCTTGACATCACAAGAATACCAGTGGAAGATTCTGGCTGTGCTCCTGTCATCCTCTCCCTCCCCGTGTGGCCAACCCATTTTCTCTTCCTCTCATAAATTCTTTTGTAACATCATTTCCTCCTCTTTTTAGAGTTCATGACTGGTTATATTTTGTAGTGAACCATATTGGCTCACTGTTGGGCTGATGGAAACTGCTTGATAAACAAAGATGTAAGGATGTGTAAGGGGATATGCTTTGTGTGTGGGCCTGATTCTAGGAGCCCAGGTTTTAAGTCCCAGCTCTGCCCATTTCTACCTGTTTGACCTTGGGAAAATTGTTTCTTCTCTCTGGGCTTCAGTTTTCTCATCTGTGAAATTAAGGGATTAGAATAGCTGATCTCTAAAGATCCTTCCGGCTCTGATCCCTATTTCAGATTTCATCTCAGTCCCCTGAGTTTCTAGTGAAACCAGGTGATGTTACACTTTCAAAAAATTCACTTTCTGCTCTATAATTCAGAATGTAGAATGACAGTGTATTGTCTTGCCATTCCTAAGGCTTCCTTGGACAGGTAGCATGGAACAGTGGAAAGAATACTGGATTGGGAGTCATAGAACCAGGGTTTGGGGGGGCAGGAGGAAGGGTCAGCATATCCTTAAATGGCAGTAATTGCTTTTCAAGGATCATGCATGCTGCTTGCACAGATTTCTCTCCATCGTTGTTGCTATTGTTTATCAACCCCTTGGCCATCATTGAAACTATTTCAACAACTTTAGAAGTTGGTCCAAGGCCCTTCTCTTTGCATCAGCATCTCCTATAATGGGAAGCAGTGTGGTACAGTAGAAAGAACACTGAATATGGAGTCAGAGGACCTGAGTATGAATCCTGGTTCTGCTACTTATTTCCTATGTGACCTTGGACAAGTAATTTCATTTCTAGGCCTCAGTTTCCTCATCTGAAAAAAATGAAGGAGTTGGACTAGATAACTTCTAAGGTCATTTATACCTCTTAACCTAGGATCCTCAAGGTTTTCATTATTCATGTTGATAATCCTTCCAAAAAGAGCTCTGACCTGTCATGATTCCTTAACTTCCTAAATTTCAGCTACCTTCTTTACCCCATTTCAGCCAAATACCAACAGAATACCATCTAAAATCTTAGCATCTCTCAGATTGTGCCATCTTCAAGATCTGGAAATTTAAGATTTGATGCTGACTACAGCCTTCTATACATCGCCCCTCTCTTGTTGATGAGGATGGGCTCTAGACCCCAAAAAAGAAAATCCCTGGACTTTCCCACATGGCCAAATCTCTGGCATTCACCTGTGACTATAATCCCATCAACTGGCCTTTCATTGTGGCTATACCCAATCTCCCAATTCTCTGTTACCCTTAACTAGCCTAGCCCTCCATTGTCTTACCTCTCTTTGGCTCCAGGCCACTTCCCACCCTTAATCCTATCTAATCTGCATTTTCCCTTGGCCACTTGGTCCAGGTCCCTGGAGTTCTATTACCTCATAGACTACTTGGCCACTCCTAGATCTCTCCCATAATCTTTCTGTATATAAGGTCCATCTTGTCTCCATTAAGATGTTCAGATTCTTATAATCTAGCCACTGCTCAGATTTTTACAGCCAATAGCTCGCTAATGTTCAGACTCCTTAAGAGTCTGCTCAATATGATGAATGTTCTACTAAACCTTGTCTTTGGCTGAAAGAAAACTTGGGTAGAATTCTTTTGGGCAGGACCCGCATATTGTGATTTTGGGGTCCTAGTACCCCTGAATCCCTAAAAGTCAACATTGTCTCTCAGTAAATGTATGCTTTACACTTTTCATTGCCTTCAGTCTCTTGATGAACTTTTATACACTTCGTGCTTAATGCGTTTTCATTCATTAACTTGACTCCATGCCCAGCTTTGATCCAATGGTATGGAATTTTAAAGTTTTAGTCAGTCAACAAGCATTTATTGGGTGCTTACTATGTGCTAGGCACTGTGCTAAGCCCAGGGGATATAAATACAAGCAGAAAGTATATTACATTCTAATGGGGGAAGAGAACACATAAAAGGGGGAAGGGCATGGTAGAGAAGGTCCAGAGTGCATGCAGCCTGATAAGAATGAGTTTCAGTAGCTACTGTCTCAGAATCCCTTGTGTCCCCTGACTCTCCACCATTCTTGGCCTGTGAATCCTTATTCCTAGGTGACTCCTACATATGATTTCTTCATTATTTCTTCAGGGCTGTTGCGTGTCATTGGAAAAGATAGAGTAATTGAACTTGATTTACCCACTACAAGTACAATGTACCTAACCTCAACTGGGTCCTTGATAATTCTCTGCAATTCTTTAAATGAACCTTTGTTGTTCTTGTCCAGTCATTTTTTCAGTTGTGTCTGACTCTTTGCTACCCTATTTGGTTTTCTTGGCAAAAATACTGAAGTAGTTTGCCATTTCCTTCTCCAAATCATTTTACAGATGAAGCAATGAGACAAACAGGGTTAAGTGACCTGTTCAGGGTTATACAGCTAGTAAGTTTCTGAGGCCTTATTTGAACTCATGAAGATGAGGCTTCCTATCTCCAGGCCCAGCACTCTATCCACTGTGCCACTTAGCTGTCCCAAATGAACTCTGCCTGACTTTATCTCATTCTACTCAATGGCTATTCCAAATCTTTCATTCTTTCCCCTCTCACAACTGAACTTTCATCTCCCACACTTATAACCCATTTAGTACTTGATCTGAAATCAAGAGACACTTGGGTTAGAATCCTGCCTCTCACATTTATTAAGTACATGAGTAGTGACAAATGCTCTATCTGATGAGGATGGGATCTAGACCCCAAAAAGGAAAAACCCTGGACTTTCCCACATGTCCAAATCTCTGGCGTTTGCCTGAGGCTATAATCCCATCAACTGGCTTTTCATTGTGACTGAGCCCAATCTCTAATCTCCCAATTCTGTTACCCTACCTCCCTATGATCCCAGGCCACTTCCCACCCTTAATTCTATCTAGGCTGCAATTCTCCCTTGGCCACTGTTCCAGGTCCCTGGAGTTCTATTATCTCACAGACTACTTGGCCACTCCTAGATTCCTCCCATAGTCTTTCTGTATATAAGGTCCATCATGTCTCCATTAAGGTGCTCAGATTCTTCCAATCTAGCCAAATGCTCAGATTCTTATAATCTAGTTAATAGCTTTCTAATGTTCAGACTCCTTAAGAGTCTGGTCAATGTGGCAGGTGTTCTAATAAACCTTGTCTTTGGCTGAAAGAAGACTTGAGTCGGATTCATTTGGGCAAGACCCATGTGTCGTGATATTGCGGTCCCAGCACTCCTAAACCCCTAAACCTCAACAGCTATATTACTGAAATAGTTACATGTACATTAATTTTTCATAAATTGAATCATATTTTTTGAGAACTCAACCACTTAAATAGTTGTAGCTTACATTTATGGAGTTTTTTTAAAGTTTACAAAGAACTTTCTTCACAGCAACCCTGTGATATATGTGACACAAGTATTACTATTTCCTTTTTTATAGATGAGGAAACTGAGGCTCAGAGGGATGACTTTTTCAAGGTTCAGAGATATAACCAAGGCAGAATGACTGGGGCTTTGTCCCAGAGCACTAAATTTAGAGGGTACTGAAAACATTCAAAAAACCATAGAAACAACAGCTCAATGGCTAGTTTGCAAGATAATTGATATAGGAAACTATGGCTAGGCAGAGCTGCAATTTTCTGCCCCCAATACCTCAAGTGATGGCATACTTTGTACTCTTTTCTCTATATGCAAAAATTCCTAGAGGCACTGCAAAAGCCACATAGCAAATAAGAGGAAGAGCCTGAATTCCAAGGACATTTATAATGAATTCTTTTTAATAATAACCCCTAATTTATTTTCTTTGTGAAAATCAAACTTTCATGTATGGTGTTACATAAAATCATGATATGTTTATTATGGTTTCTCCCAAAAAACTGAAAGTAGCAAAAGATAATAATTATTAATTAACAGTTAGTTAGTATTTAGTAGATGAGAATATATATGTATATATGTGTGTACATATATGTATGTATGTGTGTGTGTGTATATATATATATGAACTTGAAACCACATAATTAGATTTGCTTGATTTCCTTTGAGCTTATTAGAGGAGGGGACTCTTACATGCTGAGGTTGTCTTCTATATAATTACTTTGTGAATCCTAGGATCATGGGTGTAGAGTTACTGGGGATTATGGAAGTTACTCTCATTTGACAAACAAGGAAATTGAGGCCTAGAAAGGTTAAGTGACTTGCCCAATGTTAGAGGGGTGGTAAGTGGCAGTGCTAAGATTTGAACCCAACTTCTGCCTCCCATTCCAAAATTTTCCATAGCACCAAATATCACACACAATTCTCATTATTACTATTTTTTTTCTGTCAGAATCTTTATTTTTGGTGAAGATGGACCTTAGTGAATTTGTAATATCCCAAATGCAGTCCTGTGAAATCTGTGTCTCCTCATCTGGGATATTTCCCAAAGTCTCAGCAATAACCACTAGGACCAACAACACAATTTTCCAGAAAAGATGAAAAGTACATCCTAACTGTTTCTTTGATCCTCCTCATTTGCAATCAGCTAATGATTAGCCAGTGCCCTGTTGATTCTGCCTGCCCCCTTTCCTCCCTTCAGCTACAAAGTGAAGGTCACCTTGGTTTGCCTATTAATATTTAAAAAG